TCTTGGACAATAAGGATTACCTGGGAGTATAATAATGTATGACAAGCCACTATAATGACAACAGGCTTCTACTTAATTTTTTTTTAAAAAATGTGGGAACATCAAGCTGTTCAGAGACGAATGACAGGCAGGTAAGTGAAATCCAACAAGTACATCCAGTGAGGCGTACTGGGCACAATGTTTTTAGCCTCTTAGGTTCTTGCCCGCAAAAATATGCTACTCTTAAGTAAACTGCAGTAATTGTAAGAAAAACAACAGAAGCAGCACTACTCTCAGCTCATGACAGCAGTGAGTTGAGATCCTCCTCAGTGGCTTCCATATGCCGATACTTCTTTGGTTTCTTCTTTACATCATAAAGAGTAGAATCTGCCCTTTTATTTTGCTATAAAAATGTGATTGATCTTCCAGTGGTGGGACTTTGCTGCTTCCTGCACACAGTTCATTGTAGCTTTGAAAACCATCTCTTTCTCCTTAGGTGACAGGAAAATTTGATCAGCCTGGCCAACAGACATAGTAGGCAATTGCTGTAGGGTCCTTGTGTTGCATATACATTTCCAGAATGTGCAGAACAGATGGAGCTGAAACATCGGCATTCAAGGCCAGGTGGAGGAATTAAGAATGAAGGTCTCACCAAGGTTGGCTGCTAAGGATACAACCACAGAAGCAGAAGAATTGAATAGAGCAGCAAGCAGCTTTCCAAAGCAGCCGGGGATTATTCCATGATGGGAGAAAGGTCCCCAAACTGCAGTTAAGCTTAACTAAATGCAACCCATGGAGAACAAACAAAGACACTGTTGATGGTTCAAAGCTGGACAAAATTGTATGCTAGCGCCATCCAAGACTAAGACTCTTTTTTAAAAAATGAAGTAGGGCACAAGAACCTTGATGTTTATTTTTACCCAGAGAAATCTCTGCCAGTGTGACAGACTATATTTACTCTCTCCAAGGAAGTCTGTGGGGAAAATTGACTTGTGTGAGAGGAAAGGGAGCACATTAGCATATAGTTGTATGGGGCTCATACTGGAGGTCTCACTGTGTGCAGCAGAGGGCCTTCACCAACTCCTATTCCTGATTGCATCTTATTTGCTCTCTTTTGAAGAAGATGATGACTATTATTGGAGTAAATAAAATTAATTACAATTGAGGATACAGCACGGAAGGAGGTAGAAGGGAAGAGTTTTGCTCAGATATTAACTCTTTTTCTAGTTGCAGCCCTGAGATCTATGAATGCATGTGAGCAATGAGGCTAACAAGGAAGATGATGGTTCTGCTGTTGTCTTGCTCCTGCAGGTTCTCTTCTTTATGGTCACTTTCATCCCAGGAGGAAGAGAACTGGGACGAGCGGACTTGAGCAATGCGTGTACAGAACCCGGCCTACTTTGTCTGTTGGTCATGCTGAGAAGAGTCTTAGAAACTATGACGCACAGGAATTCCAGCCTTCTCTCTTCGTATCAAAGTGTTGCACAATTTTAAATTATGGACGTATTTGAAACGTAGGTCAAATTAAAAGCAAATTAAAATGGTTAGGAACACAACGAATGACATTTTGCCAAATGGAAGAATGATGAAGAGGATCTCGTGTGAAGGCAAGAGGAGAAGGGGACGACCGAGGATGAGATGGTTGGACAGTGTCATTGAAGCAACCAACATGAATTTGACACAACTCCGGGAGGCGGTGGATGATAGGAGGGCCTGGCGTGCTCTGGTCCATGGGGTCACGAAGAGTCGGACACGACTAAACGACTGAACAAACAAACAATCTCCCCTCAGGACAAGATGCTAATTGTACCATCTGGAATAGACACTGGAGCAAGTAAGAAGATCAAAGAAGAATCAAGTAGGATGAATTTTCTGTGACTGTGGATAAATTAAATTAATCCAACACTTAATATGCATGCAATTTATGCCCCTCCATGTATACAAAAGAAGATTTAGCAAATGGCTGAGATAACACTGTTCGAGCCACTCTTTTTCTGGTCAAAAACAGTCTATAATTTCAGTGTGACCAGGGAAAGAAGCTAGGAACTTTGTTTTTTAAATACATTACTGTACTTGTTCATGTCTTCTAGAAGACAAATCTGTATGTTCTCTTAAGCTAAAAACATTAACATAAAGTACATATAATTGCAATTTCTTCAACCATTTAATTATTTCTTCTGTTATTATATGGCTGAAACAGAATCTGTTTTCTAAGGTTTGCTAGGCTGCAGAAGTGATAAAGTAAATATTCCCAATTATTTTGTTCTGGGACGATGTAGGATTTGGAGGTGAAAATCTCATATAGCATCCTAAAAGAAAAAAATGTTGCTCATGTTTGCAATGACAAAACTATAGAAAAATTGGTTGTGTACTTAGAAAAAGCTTCAAAACTTAATTTCATCCTGAAGCAGTAGGGATTTCCTAGTCAAATCCTTTTTGGAGAAGCCGTAGCAAAAATGTGCCACACAGTTTAAGTGCAAGTTTTAGATACTGTACCTGGTTCAGCGCTAGTCATTTCGTGTTTCTTCCCCCTCATGCTTGCCAGATGATGCAGAGCCTAGTAACTATTATCCATGCCCCTTCCTCTGACTTCAGTCTTCTTCTGTTGTTGTTGTTTCAAGGAGGATGGCATTATTTTGTACCAAGCGTTGTGGTGGAGATTAGCACTACAGTGCTTCCTATAGAAAATTGATTTCTATAGGCTTTCAGTCTGTAGACTCTTAACTAATTCAGTCCAGTGTCTTTTTAAACATTCAGGGTGAGAGGACTGCAGAGGCAAAAATGCAGTGAGAACATCAGTGTATAAGGAATAATTTTTGAAAAGCTTAAGGATGATATTTGCTCTTTTTGTAAATCCTGCTCTTTGGGGGGAGAACAATTGCCAGTGCTCATCTGGTGCTGTGCTTTTGCCTGTCTCGTCAAGCCCCAAGTCGGGGGTCAGGAGGATCGTGTATGTGTGGTAAGGAGGGCTGGTGTTCAGGGTGGGCAAACCAGATATCTGTCCTGCAAACTGTCTTGACAGGGTGCTCAGCTAAGGTGAATGCAGTGCCTCAGGGTTTGCTAACTGTAAGGGCAATTCTACAGTTAAATGAAGTATTCCAATGTGCCCAAAGCCCCTACTAGGCTTGTGGTGGGAAGAAGAAATGACTTTGGGTTCCCTCCTGCAGCGGCTTCTGTTTTGTTTTGTTTCATGGCATGCCATAGGGAAGGAATCACGCAGGGAGCAGCGCCAGGGCTTGTCCAATAGCCTCTCCCATATTGAGGATGTGAGTGAGGGCTGGGCCTGGGTGCTCAGGATCCCCTAGATCCGCCACGTGCTACTGATCCCACCTGTGACACCAGAGCTCCCAACACAGGAGAGATGAAGAGTAGACATTTTCCACGGTGTGTCCAAGATCAGAGTGTTGCTTCCAAAATCTGATGGGACTTTTGTCCTACAGAATTATATGTCTAAACCTTGCCTTTAACCTTCCCTCCCTGCACAGTTTACACATTTGCATACTGACCACAAAAACAAAGTCCACTACTGTAATTCACTTCTACAATTAAAATTTTAAAATATCAGTCTAGGAAAGAGTGAAGGAAAAAATTCCAGAAGCCAAGGTTCAGGAATAGGTTTGTTAAGATAAACCTTCTTTTTGAATTTTTCCAGTTTCCAGTTTGATCTAGATTAGGCACATGCAACCGTTTCTGTTCTAAAGGGGGTGCACCTGGTGCTTACATGTGTTCATATGCACACAGTTATGCTGAGTTGGGGGAAAAGCTGCCTCAGGATGACTGAAGAAAGCAGAGCTATAGCCCTTGATCTTTCCAGTGCTCCAGTGGCCACCACTGCCAGGGCCAGCTCAGCCATTTGGTGCAGTGAAGTACCACTTCAGGCAGCAGAGCCCAAGGAGTGTCGAACTATGCTATTCTCTCAGGAGATCTCCTGTGTCTTCACTGTTTGAACAAACTGAGTGTCTCTGAAGTTCGCCAAACACATATAAACTGACCATGGTGCCTGGCTCTGCCTGGTTCTGCCATCTCTGTGGAGGGCAGCACTGGCTGCTTTGTACAGCCAAGTCTGTGCTCCGGAGAGCCTGCCCTCCCCCTCTCTTATAGAGAAGGGGGGGAGGCCCTTGGGCCCTGAGGAGGAGTAGAAGGAAGGAAGGAAGGAAGGAAGGAAGGAAGGAAGGAAGGAAGGAGGGAGAGAGAGAGAAAGAAAGAAAGAAAGAAAGAAAGAAAGAAAGAAAGAAAGAAAGAAAGAAAGAA